TCCAAGAATCAAAGTCAAGCTCCAAATCGGGCGATCCTTTGCTGCCCAGGGGGCCACTGTTACTCTCCGGAGGGCATCGAACAAGGCTCAAACAAATTTGGCTGGGTTCACGGCCCCTTCTAAAAATCAGCCCCTTCTAAACATCAGCAACATTGGAATGTGTCCAGGTCTTCGACCAGCCAGGATATACCAAATATCACCTGAAGAACATGAACATACTTCTCTTGACTTGTCAACATGGCGGGTCGCCCACTCCTACTTCACGTACCCTTTCATCTCTGTCATCCAAAGAAAATTGACTATAGGGACCTCTCTTGTGGCCCTCAAGAAGTATTCATGATTGGCAGTGAATGGCCCAGACAAATCTGGGAATACCAGGAACCCCCTTGAGGCAATGTGGCACAAACCAAACATCGCAGGACTCGCCTGGAACTGCCGCTGCCCAGCACCGCCAACAGGCTGAAGCTGCCAGTCGCCATGTGGTTTGCGCAAGGGCCTTGCGCTGCCAGGGGCCCAGGAGGCAACCCAGCAGGCGCCCCTTGGGAAGAAGGGGCAGCAATTAACATGGGCAAGAACCAACCACCATCACCACCGCCGCACCATGCTGGGTGTCCATCCAGTCCCCCACCACCAACAAAATAACAAATCAAGCCAAAGCGAAGATACTGGCAAGCACAATGGCCGTAACAAGCACAAGGACAACGGCAAGAACAAGAACAGGATAAGAAAACGACAGCTACGCAACCACAACCACACCAACACCACCACCAGCAACGACAGCAACAGCAACAGCAACAGCAACAGCAACAGCAACAGCAACAGCAACAACGGCGGCGGCTAGGACGAGGACAGGACGAGGGCGAGAAGGACGAGGGCGAGAAGGACGAGGACGACGACGCCACCACGACGACAATGCATGCTGTACTTGACCGTGGAGCATAAGAGGAGCAGAACTTGAGATTAATGTCTATACCGCCCAAGGAATCATCCCCAGTCTTGTTCTGCATCTTTGGGCGGGGCGATTCTGGAAGCATTTGCTGATGTCCCTTATTTGCATCCAACCCCGCGGAGCCTTTCCAGTCTGCGAGCCGCCCCACGTGTGGCTTGGGTGCTCACACCCGCAGCCATGACATGAGTTGCTGGTGGCTGGCTTCCTGAGTCGCTTCTGCAGTTGGCCAGGCAGTTGCCCCTGGCAATGACAACCTTTCGCATCCAGCTGTTACTACCATCTACCCGCGTGACACATGGATTGTCACATTGTACCCAAGACATGCTTGTTTGCGCCCGCTTTGAAGTGTGCTTGCGCATCAGCGAGCCGTTGGAGGGTTCCATGCGTGCCAGCATGGCTGCAGCATCCTGAGAGCGTCGTGCCAACAAGTGAGTTTGCCAAGCATTGCATTGGCACAACTCTTCGCACAAGGTGAAAGGTGTCCCAAGCACCCAAAGGCTTTTCCGCGCAGGCGATCGCCGCGTATCCGCCGGAGCTGCCAAAGCCCTTCCCTAGCACGCTGCCCGGCTTCCGCACCGTGTACAGCTTGCACCTCGGGTTGCAACGTTCGCCGAAAGCCAGCAGGAAAAAAAGGTGCCCAAAACCACAGTATAAATTACAGAAAGTTTGAAAGAGAAGGGCAGCCGCCACTACGCGGCTGCCGGTTGGGAATCTCTGCTGCCAACCTCCGATTCTCAAGCTGAGGTGAGCGCTGCATCCAGCCCTTGTTGTCAAAGGCCATGCTGTCCTTCGAGCCATGGGCCACGCAGTGTTCACAAATGGCAGCAACTGGAACGACAAGAACATGTCAAGCATCAAGCAATCAGTTCCAGAACAGTCCTCCAGCTTTAGCTTGCCGTCCTTCTCCAGTCTTGACATCACCTCGCCTTTGCCATAGCTTAGGAGCACTTGAAGAGAACACCACTTATAATCATCATGCCACGGACCACACCACGGACCGAGTAGAGAAACTCGATTCACTTGCGGAGGGCACTTTACCCCGCCAGAAAAACTGGTGCTTGAGGGGGAACAAAGTAGCTAGCAGAGGTGGAGCGTGATAAGCAACGACCGCGCTGCCTCTGAGGCAAACCGGCAAACCAAAGGGAAGCACGCAAGACAGCACAAAACAAAAGCACAAAACACACACGCAAACACGTAAACGCGCAAGCACAAGCACAAACAAAAACACAAACACGAACAAGCACGAGCAAGCGCGCCCGCACCCAGGCAACCTCGTACGCATGCTGAGGCGCCAACTCTCAAAATGCCGACTCATGATGGTCACCACCTTGGGTGAGAGCACGGCAACCAAGCTCACCCACTCTCATCTGAGGATGTGGGCCAGCGCAACTCCTGCACACATGGCACGGCTTGCTTGCTCAGAAATGCTGTGCAATCCTCAGAGGTAAAAAGCAACAACGATCCAATCCTGTTGTGGCTTCCTGCCTGCAGGGCATTCAAAAAGGAAATAGGCTGCAGAATCCAGCATCAGGATCTTGTTCTTCGAGACTCGCATTCCGCTGTTGACGCTTCTCCAAGTACTTGTGTAACTAAGTAATCAATTAATTCATCAATTAATTGATTCTTATTGCACCGCAGGGTTGGAAACCCAAAGTGGAAACTATCCTGAATGAGCTCTCTCCCCAATGGGCCCAAGGTCTCTGCAGCGCTCGCTCTTATGTTTCTCGGGCGCGGCTCGGTCTGTGCTCCCTGTACAGGATGGCTGCTGAGCGGCGCGCCTGCGGCGGGACAAAAACTACTGGCCCACTGGCCCCAAGGCCCCAAGGCGCCAAGGCCCCAAGAGCCAAAGGTTTCAAGGCCCCAAGGTTCAAGCAGCACAACAACCAAGTCCTGACCCGAAAGAAGAGGCATGCGCCAGTTGCAGTTTCTGAGTCAGGAATCCTGCAGGCCTCGGCAGTGGCATCGCCAAGGCATCGTCATACGGCAGTCTAAGTGTCCGTTTTTCATGTACCTGCCTGCGCACATACACTGCGCGTGCCAAGCAACACCAAGTTGAGGCAGTATTTGCTAATAGCACGAGGTGTGCACAGGTCAGGCGACGGAGTTCTTCTTTTCGGTGGGGCTCCCGCCTGTTCCTCCGGAGTAGCGGGCTCAGCACAATGCGCCACCCGCGCTTCGCGCGAAGAGCTGGGTGAAGAAAAACTCGCCAGTGCTCGCTTGGGCGACACCTCAGCCCGGTCCGGAAAGAGTTGATCGCATTTTTTCATCTGGATGGGGCTGTCCTCATGCGCATTGGCATCCTCCCCTGTCGGGTCTGTCTGGTCCCCAAATGTTGCAAGTAGGCGGGAAAATTGGAAGCCACATAGAAGTCGTGCAAACTGTAAGTTGCAATGGTTGGTTTGTTGGCTGGTTCGCTGGCCTTTTGGCTGGCTGGGATTGCTTGTTTGGCTGTTCTGGTTTATGGTCATCACCCGTGCATTTGTCCCATCACCCCCTCGAAGGATGGGCTCCTGGCCAAGGCCGCAAAGGTCGAAGGCGCCCAGCAAGTTCTTCCGGTGGCCCGGTGACTTGATCCACCCCTGGCAGGCCCCACAGCACCCACCCCAAACCCACCCCCAAACCCCACAAAAACACCAACAAAAATTGGTTGGCCTTCTGGGATGAGCCTGATGAGCCTAATTGGAGGGGCCTCGGAAGAAGATCAGCCACAGGAGAATGCAGGATTCATGCTTTCCAAGGAGAGAAAGATACAGTACAGCAGAAGGGCAAGCTTCGAAACGCGAGATAATCCATCCGGCGATCAGTCTGATGGCACAATGGACGCCTCTCACAACCTGCCCTAGGCTTGTGGCCCCAAACCTCAATGGGACTTCTTTCAAATTGCATTTGGAGGTCAAAAGAAAGGTAGTCATTGTCCGCTCCAGACTTCCCTCATGAGTCTGCACCTGTCTGCCCCTCGTTCCTGCGGACATCCGAGCCAAAGGGCTTCTGAGAGCTGGGACTACCGCCCCTCCCACCATCCAAAGAGCCTCAACTGCGGCCCTCGCCGCATCAGCCACACCACTGTTCCAGGCCAGGTTCCTTGGTCGAGTAAACTTCCGCCGACAAGCTTGCCCTTTATGCCATGACCAGGCTGCCACTCCTCATGAGATTAAGTGGCATGCCCTTTGACAGTAGAATCTTTGGAACTTTCATTGTGAACAGGGTTGTGCACAAAGTGCCTGCCACTTCACCCAAAAGCCCGCATGGTGCTGCCCAGTTCAGCCTCGCACCGCACGTTTTTTTATCTCCGTTATTCCTCCGGCCGCACCTTTAAATGGAGCTTCAAAGACTGCCCGGCGGGGAGGCAAGCCCATCCCCGGCAAACCAATGCGATGCTTGCAGCCGGCGTGCGGCCCGCTGCCGCACAATGGCGCAAAACAACGCCTAGACTGAGAGTGTCCGAAATGCGGGCAAGTGCCCTGCCCTAAACAAAAACAATCGTGCCCGACATGTTGAAGGTCTGGCTGGCGCCCATCATGGAAGCGCCGGCTTTCGGAGAGCCCACCAGCAAGGCCTGGGCCAAAAGGCTTAGCATGCCACCCACGAAGCTGAGAGGTCTCGCTCGGGTCTCATATGGATTTGTTTCCTTTGGTAGCTTTTGTGGGGCAATCCATCTGTTGTTTGAACGGCCAGTGGAAAAAATGACAATGCTGTCACCCTTGTTGCGTAGCTTGGCACATGTCACAAGCTTGGTCGTGTCCCACTTCCCACTATCCACCGCTTGCAGCCGGGTGAACCACCCCACCGCTGCACCCCTGACACAAAGTCGCTCTTGTGAACAGGTGGTGGAAGTGCGTCGTCAAAGGGACAACACAAAGCCAGCAACAAGCAGGGGGCGCTAACAGAGATCATCGTAGCCCGCATTGCAGTTTGGACATTGGCTAACAAACAGTGGTGACGGGCGAAAGCATTGAGAAAAGCATAATCGCCCAATGGCACCATAGAAAAACTGCGTTGTGTCATTCACTTTAAGCAGGCGGCCTTGGCCCAGGGGCCACATTCAGGCAGAAGAAGCTACGACCGCCAATTGCAAGCAGGGGTCCGATGGCGACATTGCCAAGTCCCAGCCCATTCTATCTCGGCGGGACGAGCCCTTGAAGCTCGCAATTGGCCCTGAACCACCTGCGCAGCTGCATGTGCCGCATGCTGCAAAAGTGCAATGATCATTGCCGTGGCCACATCCAACTTCCAAAGTGGTGGATCATACCCTCACTCGGATACAAGTATGACAAAGCAACCAACACGCATGTGACACCCCGTGAGGCAAATCCAGAAAGTGATCCCTAAAGCAAGTCTCGAAGACACCCCTGCAGCATGAGTGTCTCTGAAGCATGCCTCGCAAGCGCTTTTTATGGTCGTATCTGTCACCCCGCCCACCTTTCAGCTCTTCATAGACGAACACGCCGCCGCGTTCCTCGGTCCCAGCCCAGGTCAGAGCAAAGGCACGTGAAGCGTCATGCACATTCGCACAACACAACATTGGCTCTTCACAGCGGCCATTTTGGCTTCCTTTATCGTACGAAAGTTTGCATAACTCTCTTTGACAACCAGTGCTTCATTTCAACACCAATGTAAACACGTAGCCACCAACATGGGAACTGCCTGACAATCATCATCAATAATATTGGACCCTGTTTACACCACCCCCCCCCCTCGCTAGGAGTGGAACCAATCAGCTGGACCCTCTTTAAGCGAGATCCTGGGGGTCTGGGAGGGACAGTACTTACTTTAGTATTGCCAATTCTACTTTAGTATTGCCCCAGATCGCTCCACTTTGCAAGGCGAAGTGCTGAGTCCATGAAGGGCGCAGACACTGCCAGCTTTTGGCCATTCGACGCCATCGACCAGCCAAATCGGCCCCATGAAGACGAGGGATGCTGCAAGGCCTGAATTCAAGTGCACAAACTGAGGGGCATCTCTCCTCCACCCGCCCCACTGTTGAACAACTTGGGCATGGTCATGCAGCCCTGGGCTGTGTGCAAAATGGAGCAAGGCAATATGCAACATGCTGTAGCTGGAACTGTCATCGTACTTTCTGACGAGGACTGCTCAAAAAGTATTCTGGGGTGTGATGTCAACCAAGGAGAGCGTCGTTTGTCAAACAAAGTGAGGGGCAGCTATATACAGCTGCATTGCTTGCCTGCCCTGGTCCAACACGGGGCTCAATCTGATGCAGCAGGTGGCGCGCGAGCGCCGCGCCATCGCACTTTTTGTCACTTTAAACCCATTGGCACTCACAGCCTCCTGTAGGCTGGCGCCTTTGAAATCATGGCGCGTGGCATGCGAGCAGCGTCCCAAACCAGTTGATGTTCTTGACCCTACGACAGTTCGTGAGGCTCATTAGGTGATGAAATTGGCCCCATCCAAATCAAGGATCTCCTTGTGATATACTGGTTTGATTTAAAAGGAACCCTGGAGAAAGCCAAGACCCCCAGTCGGAAGCAGCCCAACTACCAACCAGTTCCGGCCGCTGCTCGGTAACGAAACCTGAAGCCTTGCGCCGGCCTCACCGCCAGAAGAGGCCGGCAGCGTGGACCTCTCGGCCGTGAGGGCGAGCCCAAGCAGCATCCATGGGCCGTCTGAACTTCTGACAGGCTCCAAACGACAAGCACCAGAGCCCACAGCCCCAAAGCAACTGCCTGGGTTGTCACATAGCACATCACTGCCTGGGGCATAGGAAGACTTCCCCTTGTCGAGGTCACCATACTTCGACCAAATCAATTCAAACCCTCGAACTCTCGAGAACCGCAACCTCCCGAAGGCCCCAACGCTCCTCAAATGCCCACAGGCCCATAATGGGTTGGTCTGAGTTGGTATTTCTGGTTTGCTTGGGTGTTCCTTGGCATTGATTGGTTGCGCTTGGTTGCTTGAGTGTTGCTCAGTGGTTGTTGAGCTGCATCTGAGTCCTCTCGCGCTTGCAACGTCAAATCCTCCGACCCTCTAGCATTCAAATTATAGGACTATCTGCTTGTTCTACATTTGTTCTACATTTGTTCTACATTTGTTGAACATGTGCCTGCTTGGCTAGCGGTTGAGTGGCTTGCTCTTAGACAACTTCTGGTTGCTTGGCCCTGAGCCCTGAAAGCCAGGTGCCCCTAATGGTTGGTGTCATGTCTAATTTCACCTCCGCCCCTGGACCGGGCCCCACTTCTATGATACCTGTGAAAACATCGTGCACCACTTGGAAGGTTCATAGAGCTTCATCAATTCCAATCGGTGCAAAGTGGAATTTGTGCAGTGGTTTGGGGGTTGCTGGCTCACAGCCGGCGCCTTGTCCATCATGATGGAGGCGAAGCCCTGAGAGGCAGGCCATTGCCATTGTGCAAACACAAACGTCGCCTTTCGGGGTGTATCTCAACAGCACAGGCCCCTTTTCAAACTCCCACTTTGGACGGTGTCCAATGCCCAAAAGAAAGATCCTATTCTACGTTGAAACACCTCCGAATGACATGAATCCATCCGGCGCAAATGGATGTCAGGCGTCGTCATGCCGCCTTGAAAGGGGGCCTTCCCAATGCGGCCTTGGCATTTTTTGTCCGCCCATTCCTGTGCGAAGTGGAACCTCCCGGCGCCTGCGAGCTCTCCCGCACCAGTGCCAGGAACTCCGCCGCCGCCCGCTCGTCGTCTGCCTCGTGCACTCTCAGCCGCTCCTGTCGGCCCAAGGCCGGGGGAAGGGGTGGGGCAGGCCTTGGAGGACGTGCAAGGGGGATGAATAGTACAATAGGTGTGGAGAAAAGGTTGGACTATGCCGATCTGATGATCTAATCCGGATCAACATTGGCAAATTACTATTGCCTCCCCTGCCCATGGAGACTGCTGGGCACATAACTGCAGGGCAGGCGTCTGGCAGCCAAGATCTAGCCAGACAAGAGAAAACTAGAGAACACACTACCTGGGCAGAGAAAGTGGCAAGGAAACTAATCCAACACACACAATTGGACCACGTTCCCAGCAGCAATACCAATGATCCCAACCAGAATCAAAGCCTCAAACCCCAAACAGCTAAAAAACAGCACCCAGACATGCCTGCCCAAGGTAAGACAACCCCAAGACTCCCTAGGATTTGTATTCACATGAAACAGCGGTGCGGCCATTTTCTTAATTTTGGCTTGCATCCAAAGCCCCTCCCAAAACTCCCAGCAACCCCCCCCCCCCCAGCGTCAAATCATGTCAAATCATAAGCCCGTCACTCCTGACCCCGTCCCCAAAGCAAGGTCGCGTGACCCAAGTCCAAACCCCAAACACGCTACAACACCAACCGAAAACCACGAACCCCAAACCAAGGATTGGCCTAACCCCACCCACAACCCACCCCCCGAAACCCACCTCAAAAAACCTCCTCAAACCCCAAGCCCACACCCCGATTGTGTCGCACACATTTGTAGCCCGCCTTGATGCCAGCCACCGCCGCTGTAGGCTGCCTGGCCAGCTTCTCGCATCCAAACGCCCCCGAGGCAGTGGTCAGCTGCAGCACCGACGCGAAGAGCCCCGCGAAGGGTCTGCCGGACATTGAGGGATGCAGAACCCATTCAATGTTGGAAGATGCTCAGGTGTTTGCGTGTGTGTGTGTGTGTGCGTGTGTATACATGTCATGTACATATAAACATATTAATTGTATTGATTCGTAGGCATCTTTCATGCATGTAGCTTTACATTGTATGGAACAAATTCGCCGACTTCTGCGGCGTGGTTGGCTTCCCCCTCATCCCCAACAGAGGCACACGCCTGCAACGGGGGAAGGGGGGGGGACCATGCAGCGATTTTGTGACGTTCGCCCGTTTTCGCTTGTGAGCGGCACCGCCGGCGCCCAGGCCAGTGCCGCGTGGGGAGTCTCGGTGAAGGAATGAGTGTGGTTGTGTGAGCTTTATGGTGGGTTTGTGTAGGTTGTGTGGGTTTTCTGTGGGTGTTGTCTGGGTCTCATGCGGGTGTTGGGTGGGCTTTGTGGGGTTTTGTACGTGGCTGCTGGCTGGGTGTTGTCTGTGGGTTTCGCGCGGGTTGTGTGCGGGATTTCTTTGGGAATTGGACGGGCCCCACGCTCCACACACACAAACACAAACACGCTGCACACTCCACACTCCACGCACACCACACACCACACACCACACACCACCACACAACCCACACAACCCACACAACCCACACAACCCACACAACCCACACAACCCACACAACCCACACAACCCACACAACCCACACAACCCACACAACCCACACAACCCACACAACCCACACAACCCACACAACCCACACAACCCACACAACCCAGACACACATACACACACACACACACCACACAGCACACAGCACAGCACGCAGCACACACCACACTCCCCACACCACTCTCCATTCCAACTGCCCCCAGTTCAAAGAGCTAGGCCAGCTCCAAAGCAAACATAATATCAACCATCGAAGTCCTCAAAACATATAGGAAACCAAATCAAACATATACCAGTCATCAAAATCCAACATGTTTCAATGATCAAAATCAAAATCAAAACATGTCACCGCTCATTCAGGCACCGCAGCAGAAGTCGGCGGAGGCGCTACAGTATGACATACCTGTGTGATCATAATGTGTGTGTGTGTATCAGGCGTCTCTGTCAACGCAACGAAGCCGGTAGTGGAACCACCCGCCAAATGGCCACGAGGCGTGCACAAATTGGCGTACCCTCCCATCACCAAACAAAGGGAAACCTCAAAAGGCTTTCCAAAACAACATGCTATTCAAATCTCAAAACAATGTAAAACCCCAAATGGAGGGGGGCACCGCTATTCGGCACTATCCTTTTTGGAAAGGGGGCCCACCATCTTTGGGGCTGTGCGAAAAGGGAGAAGAGGATCGGCGAGCACCCATGTCGTGCTCGACAAACCCCCAAAGAGAAAGCACCCATCTTGGTGAGTGGCTTACCCCACTTGGCCCTTTAATGCAGGCTGGTTCCAGGTTCCGCCCAGCGCCTCAGGGCCAGGTAGGCGCGCTTCGCCAGCTTGAAGCAGGTGCCCAGGCGGTTGGAGGCCACCAGCGCCTGGGCGATCTGCGCCGGGAGCCGCACCGGGGGCGACAAAGGCTTCGGGTCATCGCCTGGAGAGCTGCACCGAACCGAACCCCGAACCGAAGCCCGACGAACCGAAGCCCGTGGTCTTCTGATCTTCTGGGCTTTTGGCTTCCTCGAAAATGCTTGGTGTATGTTGGTGTATTTTTGTTTCTGCTTTGGGCACTTCCTCCAGAAATGGTTGGCTTCCTCTAAACATGGGCTTGTTGGCGAAGGTGAAAAGGTAAAACCTGGCTTCGAAAGGGGTGCTTTCCCTTTAAAACTTGGGTCCCCCCTTGACAGCCATAAAAGGTACCCCCTAGATGCGCTAGATGTTCCCATTTGCACTGCAAACCTTGTTCAAAGAAGGGAGCCTTTCTTGGGGGTCTGGACTTTTTGGGAACCCACCAACGGAAAGGGATTTGGAGAGCAACACTGAACCACAGGGAAGCCACCTGTGAATTGATAAGCTGCCTTATTTCCAATTATGTGCAAATCTTCCACTGGGTGAGAGGCGAGGGTGCATGTGTGGGTCGATCGGTGAGTGGATGGGTACATCGAGCCGCGCGGAGTTCTACCAGAACAAGATCATAATTGGGAGGTACCCACCTGGCCTAAGACAAACCCAAAGTCGATGTGGAAGACGTGGCCGGAGCAGGTCATACAAATGTTCTCAAGGTGGCGGTCTCCGATGCCCAGGACGTAGGTCACAACGCAGCTGGCAGCCACGCTGCCACACAGGTTGTCCATCACGGAATCCACGGACAGAGATTTGGGCTTGTGCTCCCGGAGCCAAGCCTGGCTGAGACCAAATGAGTCTGCCTCTTGGCGCTTTAGATTCAAACGTATGGCGGTTG